ACCCCGCACCAGCCCCTGCCTCCAGCCCCGTCTCCCTTTCCCAAGTGGCCGCAGCAAATTCCTAGCTGGGGCTCTGGGGCTCTGGGGGGCGAGTGGGGGCGGTTTCACGTGGAGAAGGTTCTGAGCACATTGAATTCCCCTGGGTCTACCCGGGGTGTGGAGGGGAGGGCCAAGAGAGGCGTCTCTTGCCATGTACATTATGAAGGGCAGCCAAGAGGCAATTTCAAAAGGGGAATTTCAACAGGCGGCACCTAAGAGCCACTCCTGCTCGTTCTCATTTCGCTTGTGCAGCCCAGGTTTTGCCTTGGTTTACGCCCAGCAGTCTGCATGGAGCGCTCACAGAAGCACAAAATCTTGGTTTTGGGGGTCAGTTTTCCTTTGGTGAAAAATAAGAGTAGGAGCACTAGGAATGTCTCTGAAGGGACAGATTTTTTTTATCTTTTGCAGAGCACTTCACCTGAGCGGTGAAAGAGGAGCTGATGAGTTGGCAGGAAGGTCAGGGAGCACCATACTGCTTAATTGCAAACAGCAGTGGAGATAATTCTGAGAGACGCTACACTGCAATGAGGGACAGGACATTTGAGTCATCCTCATTCTGGAACTGCAAATGTTTTCAGGTTGCCCTGACCTGAATTGAGGTAGGCAGTTTCTGTTCAAAGGAGGAAGCCCAGCAAAATTTGCACTGCTGATTTTAACCAGTGAAGCTCAGAGTGTCATTTAATGTAAAATAAATACAACTTTTGGAGGAAATAGTAGTTTGTAGTAACCAAAGGCTCTGTCTTATGGAAATAGTCATCTTCTTTTTTCTTTTTTTCTTGAATCCGAACTGGATGAACCCACTTTAAGGAGTCATTAGAAAATTCCATGATGTCTGGCTCAGCCCTAGGTTTACCTGGAGAAGGAGACGAAGTGGCCTTGTTATTTTAATCGCCTTTGATTTCCCTACTGACCACTTACGTATCAGACAGCAGGGAAGGCGGCACCTCTGCGGCTGGCAACTAGGACGCTCTAAAATTAGTGAGCTGCAGGTGAGCTTCCCTGCAGCGCTGGATTGCAGAGAAGGGGAATGGGTTTTGAAGTTGAACTTCCATTTTATTTTGCGAAACGTGTTAGAGTGGTCTTCGCAGAGCTGCAGGTCTGTGTATTTTGCCATAGGCACAGACTGGTAGACTCCAGGGTGGCGTTCATGCAGTAAGTGGAGTCATCTAAACTGCTCACGCAGCCCTTAGGCTCCCATTTCAGTCTGGTCACTCAGTGCAGCTCAGGGCATGACTAATTCTCTGGAAGGTCTAAACTGGGTCGGACAAGTGGTCACCTAAGGGGCCTTTTCTCTTAATTGCTTCAGAAAAGGAGACTGGGGCAGCTAGCTGAACCACAGCGTCCACACGGTGACCTCTCTGGTGGGAGGTGGCCTGAATTGGCCCTAACAGACTAATTCGCTCGAGTTTGCACCCATAGGTAAAAGCAGGCGAAAGCTTTGGGCTGGCTCACCAGCTGCACTGGACACTTGTGGCCCTGCACTGCGGTGCTCCCAGGATCCGGATCATGTGGGAGGGGAGGTGCTCGGTGTATCTGAGACACCCAGTCCAGCAGGAGTTGTGCCATGCTTGGGTCTTCTGCACGCAGGCCGGATGTTTTGACTGGAAGCCATAGCAAGAAAGAAGGACTGAAAGTGTGAGTGGGTGAGGAGCTTTCTGGGCTCATTCTGCTCTTTTCCATTCAGATCTGACAAAGTATCAAAGTTCAGTAAGATTTAAGGCAGAAAAATACCAAATAAACTTCTAGAAATGAGGCTAGCTCTTCTAAATCAGAACAGTGCCAAACTGGTATAAATTATAAATTCCGAATTGGTCAATTGCCTAAATTCAGTTCTGAATTCAACAGTTGAATCATCTGTCCTCTGTGGATTCAGAGCAGTGTTTCTGAAGGTCAGAATTCAGCGTTGAATGTTCAGCAAAAAGAAAGCATTCAGTAGCTCTAGCACATCAAAGACTGAGGATTCCTCAGTGCTACAGAATGCACGCAGTGTGTACGGGCTGTGACTAGTGGACACTGCCTTTCAGAAATAAAATTGCAGTTGGCAGCAGTTTTTATTTCACCCCATGGTAGAAACCGCTACTCTGAAAAGAACCAGTTTGTACAAAATGAGTAACCACAAGATCTTTGTTTCCTCATTCCCAGAATCCAGCTGTAAGTCTGACTCAGAAGTTATTAATCTTTGCTGGATAAAAAGGAATGCAATGTTCTGGGAATAGTGTCTGCTTAGTAAGTAGTTTTGTTCAAGAATATCAACTAGGTGCTTTTCACTCTAACTGGTCATTGGTCATGTAATAAAATATAGTTCATATTTAATAATTACCTTCTGATCCATGGAGTTAGTGTGTAGTTTATAAGGACCAGCTTGGAGACTAGTGAGCATAGCCATGAACGTGGATCGTGTTCCCAGTGACAGACAATAACCAGGACAGTCTGAGCAAGCAGCATATGGGATACTAAGTGGCTTGCAGCTGACAAAATTTCTGGCAAAATCTCTCATCATCTCCAGTAAAAAGAATTATATTTTATGAAGTAATATCTTGTAAGTTCATTTGGACCTGAGAAGCTATAAAGAATGTTAATAAAACAAGGAGTCAGAAGGTTCATGTACAAATCTGAGCACAACTTAAAATAATTCCTACAGGAAATTTGTACTGATCAATCCAACCTTTTGCCAAGATACAAATGCTTCAGTCTTTTTGCTATATAGTTAAGCCTTTAGTCTCCTTTTTATCTTCTCTTCTAACTAATAGCAATATTTTCTAGTTTCTTAACATGGACTCAATTCAGTTTCTTTTTATGTCAGTGCTATCCTCTAATTCAAATAAAAAACTGAGTAACTGGTTTTCTTCTGCCTTTATTCTTTCCATTTTAAAGCAAAGGAAAGACTCTCTTTGTTCAGGCTCTGCTAAATGTCAAAGAAAGAGAACATTAATAAGTAAATTCAAGAACTTTACTGAAAATTTGTGTCAATCAAGGTGAAGACAATGGTTTGTTGTTGTGTGCATTGAATGTAGAAGTGTGTTGGACTGTTAGGTTATAAGATATGTACGTGGTCACGTCAGTTCATAAGCTCAAACTCTAATCAGGCAAAACCTTAAAACCACAGACTGTCAGTACTATATGTAGCTCAGAACACATAGCAAAAGAACCACAGGCATCTCAGTAGCTTGTGATTTTAAAGATAAAAGAAAAGAAAACACTAAGAACTTACTAGCCAAGTGTTTCCAATTAGGCTAGCCTATTTTAGGACACAATCAATAGAATCACCACATCGATTTTGCTACTGGTTACCTTGACCTGTGTTCTTTCAAAGCCATTACCTGTCAGTGTTTGGAATTTTAAAGAGAGGGGTGGGACTACTGAAAGGACTGTGAGACATATACATGCTTGTTTTAGTTTGGTATAAAGCAAGAGAAAACGTAAGGGATATAAAGCCATGGAAAACGGCATTCAAGATAAAGGCTTCTTGGTGGAATTCCAAGTCTGGAGACGTTTTATCTGTTTCTGTCAGAGTCAGAATCTGCAAATGGAGAAAGAAGAACATTTTAGAATATCTTTATACGTTCCCAGGAAAAATAATAACTGAACTTAACAACATAAAAGGATATTGCTTTAAGCTTTGAGCCTTTAGGAGTGATCCTATATCACTAAGTAATTAAAATGATTCTAAGCCTGATTTTATATTCTAAGAAGGGTGTCAGCATACGCAAGTAATTGCTATTTTTCATTGCTTAGACTCTGAGCACTGGCTCACAACAAAAAGCTATATGCTAGTGCCAAAGCCAATTTTTGCTTTGGAAGAGCAATTTCTCGCTTCTGGAGCAAATACAAAGCCTGCAAGAGCTCACAGAAGGAATCAGATGCAATTAACCAACTAGTTACTAGGTGTCACTGTAGCATCGCTTCATACAAGTGGTAGATTCCTCCTTTGGCAAAAACCCAAGGAAGTGGAACGAAGTCCAGCAAAGAATCTAAACTCCCTGCAGCTGAAAGAGGTTTGCTAAATTAGATGCATTGTAAGCATAAGATCCGAAGTCTTCCTCTAGAATGAAATAACTCACTTGGCCTTTAGTATTGTTCCCGGATGCTAATAGTCTAATACTGTTATGTATTTTACTTTTCCTGTAACTGAAAAGTTGAAATTCTGCAACCATGTTATGATTTCATACCTCATAGTCATGTTCTCAGTAAACTGATCTACAAGACAGCAAGTGACTGTCATTCATTAGTAAAACATGTATTTAAG